TTCAGACTAAAAGGTGAAATTTTTCACCTAGGAAACTTTTCAGACTAAAAGGTGAAATTTTTCACCTTTTACAGCAAAAAGTTACGATTTTTTATGGTAAAAAACAAACACCTCACATAACTGGATCTGGATTCACTGCAGTGAATCTGGATTCACTGCAGTGAATCTAGATTCACACATGTGTGCCTTCGTTTTTCAACTGGTTTTCCAATTGGTTTCTTCAAAAAATAGGAAACTTTTCAAAAAATTGGAAATTTTTCACCTTTTACAACAAAAAGCTACAATCTTTAAGGTTAAAACTAAAACTTTTAGATGAAAAATCAAACAAATTTTATAAACTTACCATTAAAACGTCAAAATAATTTAACGATGACAAAGGTTGAAGACGGTGGTTGAAGATGAAGGTTGAAGACGAAGGTTGAAGAAGACCGTTGATAGAGATGCAGTTGAAGGCAAACGTAGCATTAGATAAGTTGGGACGAGTTTTGGAGAGAGAGAGAGTTGTCATGACTTTTTGGATAGGGAGATGTTGAAGAGAGACAGAGAGAGAGAGAGTTGCTGTGATTTTGGAGAGAGAGAGATATATTGTGACTTTTGGAGAACTCAACAGACATGCATTCATTACATCTGACAAGTGGCTGTTAATTTTACCTGATTACCCTTATGCAGCTTTAATCTCAGCCATTGGATGAATCAGGATCCAATGGAGAGGATTGGTTTTTAGTTTTTAGGATAGTGAGGTTTTTATTTGAACCTCTCCATATATATATATATATGTGTGTGTGTGTGTGTGTGTGTGTGTGTGTGTGTGTGTGTGTGTGTGTGTGTTAGGTCTCATGTTTATGAGCCTACTATCTAATCTAGTTTTGATGATTAACAAACGATTCCTAGCATCGTTTGTCGAGTGTTTGTATTTGCTTGTTAGGTATTCTACACAAAGATCCTCCAGTTAGAGGTTGGTTGGAATTGAGCTTAACGATGATATTCGAAGGAGCTTGGAAGGAAATAGAAATGAAGCTTTGCATTTCAAGTCAAGATCTAATACTGCTTCATCCGCAAACGAAGACGTGCTTATTGAAGATTATTTGCCTTGGGTAATAGTAGTTTACGTTTATACTTTGTGTGTTAATACTTAGAGCTCAAAAATCATACACACACGCATTGGTTTTTTGATTTATCATCGTTTTCAAATTATAGACTTAACGACACGATTTTATATCTTTCATCAAGTCTATAAATCCATTTTTAAAGTGTTTCAAAACTTGTTTGGCAGAAATTCATCAAAATCAAGTTTTAACAAGTTCGTATGTTTTACCGATTTGTAAAATAATGTGTTGTGGATTAATGACTTAATATATAATTATTGTACATCTTTCATTAAGTCTATTAATCCATATAAAAGAAGTTTCAAACTTGTTTAAAATCATTTTGTCAAAATCAAGTGTTTTAAACGAACTCGTATTTTTGAGATTTTACAAAATGATGAGTTTTCACAAACGGGAAATGATATTTCAAAAATTTCTTTTCTAACATGTTTATTTTCATGTTTATAAACATTTTCCCAATTTTAATAATTTATGGAATTTATTTGCTATATTTAAAAGCACATTGAAAATCAATTTCACTGTTTAAAACTGACCCTGAACAGGTTAACAGTTGACTGATAGGTCATCAGTCGACTGATGAAAGTGACTGGAATCATCAAAATGTTTCTTCTCAGTCGACTGATGCAGATGGTGTATCAGTCGACCGATGGGATTTAAATAGCCACCAACGATCAGCTCATCAGTCGACTGGACAGTATCATCAGTCGACTGACGGCACTGTAACGACTATATTTCTAGATTGTCGATTTTCAGGATTTGTGACATTTTCTTGGTTTTTGGGTTTTGTTTTGTGATCCTATAAATACCCCATCAGTCTCAACATTTGGGGTTGACTAAGAAGTGTTTTAATCAAGTCTACAAGTTTGTTTTAGTATGTTTTAAGTTTGTTTTCAAGTGTGTTTATGTGAAGAGAGTTTCACAAGAGGAGGAGATCATTTTATTTCTTTTTGAGCTTCAATCTCACATCTCCATCACTCTTGTTTGCAGAGAACTTTTGCTAAACTCAATCTCTAGCTTTATATATGTTTATTGTTGATTATCATTTTCTTAAGCTAGATCATAAATTGAGTTTATATTTCATTTTACTCATTGATTGCACACACAACCTATTGAGCTTTTAGTATTTCATATTAAGTTTAATTTGGGTTGTGGTGAGTGATTAATTGAGTGTAGGCTTAATTTAGTTCTCATCTTGTTTAGAGAACAAATTATCTTTGCTTGTGCTAAATTGTTGAGAACACATTGTAATACACAATGACACTTAGAGAAGTGGTTGGTGAGAGACAGGGTCAATTCCAAGAGGAGTGGCGTCGGTAGTAAATACTAGGGAGATGTTGTAATTCCAAGCACTTGAGGAAGGTGACACGGGCTAGGTCAACACTTAGAGAAGTGTGTTGTGTGATTGTAATTGTGAGAGTTGTAAAAGTTTTCGGTGAACTTGGAAAACCGATTGTGTAGTTGCTTATTAAGATAGTGGTTATTCTCCTCGAGGGTGAGGAACGGAGACGTAGGTCGACGGAACTCCGTGATCAATTTCCTTGTGTTTGTGTTTGTCTATTTACGCACTCTCTCTCTTATTCTTGCATTCATGTTTATTTCGCTCATTGTTTAATTGTATATCCTTGAGTATATCATTTGAATATCACGTCATTAGGATATATTGTTAGTAAGTTTTTAATTTGATATTAATACCGGATTAGATTAGCAAATACCCTATTCACCCCCTTTACGGTACTTTTAATAAATCTTTCCCGCACTATGGATCATTTGACAAAACACTAAATACTTCTCATATGACAAATAGGTACAGAATATCATTCTCATGTAGAAGTACCTAGAGCACATAACTCTCAAAATATATACATTTGAATGTTAGCAACAGGCATCCAAAATTTTTGCCATTATTAGATAATAATACTAATTCAAACAATAAAAGTACAGGGTGGTGTTATAAAAGTACTAAAATTTGTCAATGGAAAAAACTTAGCATATACTCGTGTATTCTTTTTAACCAAATTACTTATCACATACTATATGCAAATACCGTATGAAAATTTTGTGGACGGTCTGTTACGTGCCTTCCCTCTCATAAAAAACGGGAAAAAACTTATATTATGTAAGACAAAAGCAGGTGTCCTACATATAGTTATAATCATAAATATATTCTGCTATGTAAGTGTTGAAAAAAATATATAACAGTCAGACTTGGCCAAATAAAGTAGCATCAACAATACCAAAAAGATACTATGTATGCTTGTCTCTGAGCATATACTTCTAAACAATGGAATTAACAAACAAGCTTAACTACCAACTAAGGATAACATATAATACTTTCGTCGAAATAAAGAAGCAAACCATTGATGACTGAAGCAATCCTGTTAAGGTGCTAAGTACTCCAGACACCAGACATCATGTGCTATTACAATAAATTATCAGTGTTCACATAGAGGGTTGCATTTCAAAGTTATTTGAACAAAACTTGCAATCTAAACTCCAACTAAATAAAATCAGCAATATTTAAGAAACAATTTACTGTAAGACATATCACCCAATCTTAAAAAGGATCTTCGGTGATTATGCAAATCAATAATACACAATCATCTAAGAATTATTGCTTTGATACAATATTAAAAAAAATTCATCATGCTTCTACCTCGTAAAGTATAAAAGCAAGGAGAAAGAATCGATAATTCTGGGTGAGGTTCTTAAATTCAATAAGATACTCACATCGTAAGCTACCAAAACTAAGTTGAGATGAAAATGTTCACAACAATTTGGGCATTGGAGTGACCGAATCATCGAAATGTGAAGGCTTAAGCTTCTCAATCCAATTGAAAAGCCGCTTCTTGTGTTCTTGGCATGTTATGGTTTGAACCGAGTTGAGAGTGCCATCTCGAACAAGAACTATTTCAAATTGTTCTAATACCTTCACAACTTGCCAAAACTCGGGTCTCTTTTCTGGATGAAGTGCCCAACATTGCTCTATTAGGGCTCCCAACGCATGAGGGCAATCCGCAGGAATAACTGGCCTCAAGTTCTGAAATATTGATATTTTTCATTAGAATATGCCACATATAATGCATGAATATTATTTTGCTTTCATTTAAAGTTGCCATGCATAATAATTAGATAACACAAAATAAGATTACACGTGAGCCCTTACGGCATATATTTAACATCAATGTCACCAAAAGTCATTAGTATCCACTTTATAAAGGCGGATAATGATATTATAAACCAAAAGGAATGGAGAAAAGGAAAGATGGAACATCTGCAGTTGCAGTACTCTGGTATTCTGATAAATCAAGGACTTACTATGTAACGATAAGTTCTCTTATGACATTGAGCCAAAATAAGTTGGAAGGATATAATAGGAAAATTTTCCAAGATAAATAATTCAATTACAGGACGGAAGCTCCCCCTGTGTTTAGCTATAAATTAATTGGACAGTTAGACTATCAAAAAAATTGACGAATTCCATCATAAACTACTAAACTGTTTTAGAAATTCTTCTAATGGACTCTGGACTATGAACCTCTTTGTTTCTCTCTTTAACATGTACTGGATCTAAGTGTGTATACTAAAGAGAAATTAAATTTAGACCGAGTCTGATGGACTCACTGAAACAAAGGAAAACGAAACTAAAAATAATACGAACAAGAATAATACCTTGTCAACCACTGCAAATGCTGCTTGAATCGGGGACATATCCTCATAAGGTATTCTTCCTGTCACCATCTCCCATAAGAGCAATCCAAAACTATAGACATCAACTTTTCGTCCATAATGTTTATGCTTAATCATTTCAGGAGCCATCCAACGAAAAGTTCCAGTATCCTCTGCTAATGCATCACGATATGCCTCCTCACAAGCTATCCCAAAATCAGCAATCTTCACACAAAATTCCTCATCGAATAGTATATTTTCAGGTTTCAAGTCACGGTGAATAACCCCTTGTGAGTGAATATATTCCATTCCTCGACTGATGTCAAGGGCAATTGAAATAAGTTTATCGAGAGAAAGGGTTTTGTGCTCGAGTTTGTGCAAGAATGCTCTTAGGGAACCTCCAGATAGATATTCAGTGATGATGCAAAATACTGGCGGATTCCTACATGCTGCTGCCAGCTGCATCATAAACAAAGAACATGCGAAGAAAGGTTAACTACATTTCCATGTTCAATCACATTTGAAACAGTAAAAATTTTGGCAATGAAAACCATTTTCAGTTTGGATCCAGCAGTTCAGAGTGCAACCAAGAAGAGATGGTATAAATAATATAATCATAACATCTCCTATGATCAATCAATAACCATAAACTCTGAAATAAATGGATATAGAAGAAGATTGCTCCTTAATTACCCCTACTGCTTCTATAAACTGAGATGAATAAACTTTGCATGTAAGACCTTTTGAAAGTGTTCACAATCATTACAAAGTCAATAGGTGGGAAAGCTTTGTAATATATTTACATAAAATTTAGACATAGATATGCCAAATACTTGTATAGGAGGATGTGGATACCTAAAATAAATAATTAATACTTTTACCAAATCTGTCATTAACTTACCCAAAAATGCACTTGCATGAAACCAATTTCTAATCTCATATATGATAAGGATATTCATAAAACAGAAACTAATTCCTTATCCATGGCCCTTAAGAATTAGGAAGATCGTTAACACCTTCTTATAGGACATTGAAAAATAAAAATAATGATAACAATAAAATCAAATAAAAATGCATCATATAACATATATAAACCATAGGAAGACAAAAAAAAGTACCTTAATCACGTTACGGTGGTACAAATGAGATAGAAGGGTGACTTCTCTATTGAACTGCTTCTCCAGTCGAGCTGCCATTATTCCATTTTCGTCATCGTCAGGTTGCCTAATAATCTTCACAGCAACAGGTTGATCTTTATAAATTCCATGATACAATCGACTATGAGCTCCCGAAGCAAATCTAAGCCCAAGATACAACTTCGAAAGATCAACCATCATCTCCTCCGTAGCCTCCACGGCATTAACTCTCCCAACTCCATGATCAAAATACCTCGTCCATGAGTTCTCTTTTCGACTTTTAACCTTAAGTTCGGATATTTTCATCGAAGAGAAATGCTGAAGAGGGCTTGTTAGAGGAGATGGAGATGGTGATTGTGAAGGTAATTTGCAGCGATCGGTTGGTGAAGGTAAAATGCAATGATCCGTGGGTTCTTTAGAAAATAATCTGCCAAAAACCTTCTTTTCTGATCCTCGTCTTATTGGAGGAGGAGTTGAGAATCTTTTCTTGGTAGCCTTAGCTTCTTTGAAGGTATCGGAAATAGCTGTAGTAGGAAGTGGGGATGCTGATCTCTGCTTAGGTTTAGATTTTGGTTTAGATCTTCGAGAATCTCGGTGTAGTTGATCTCCTACTGAAGTACTAGAAACTGAACTATTAGGATAAGAACATACTGAAGGGTATGAAGATGAAGATCTTGGAATTGATACTCGATCATTACTGAATTTGGACGGAACACTAGAAGATCGAGTACATGAGTTCCTGTTTTGTTTCTCAGCACAATCATCTGGTAATGAGATGGATGCCAATTTCGACGAACCTAATGCAGAATTCTCGGGCTCTAGCTTTAGGCTTTGATCAGACTTAACAGAGAGAGGAATAACGGGCAATCTCGAAGAATCTAATCGATGACAAACTGTATGTGAAAACTTGGCCCTCCTCACCCAAGAGCTGCTCTCCTCCTCCATCTCTCCCCTCAAGCTTAGTTGAGCTCAGTCATGAAATCAAGAATACGGATATGAACCAAAGCCATGGGCGAAAATTCTAACAAAGACCATTTCTAACCTCAACTCGATCCACATCATGCGCTTTTTTTTAACCATTTGAAATCCCCAAAAGCCAATTAAATTTCTCAAAGAGAGAGAGAGAGAGAGAGAGAAGACTTTCAGTTAAGTCCTGCACAAGATGAACACCTGCATGACCTGCAACAAAACAAGTCGTAATAAAGAATTAAGAAACCCCATCTCCAGCATCATGCTAATGACAACGAAACCGCATCAAAATTCCTTCTTTTTAAAAACCCATCTTTATTTTCCGCCCATTGACGAGGAAACAACATAAAGATTTCTCCTTTATTGTTATCATTATTATTATTATTATTATTATTATTACTACTACTATTTGAGGGGGAAAAACACCCAGATCTGGGAAAAGGTGATCTAACGAAAAAAAAAAAAAATTCTAATGCAAAACTAAATAGAAAATCATACCTCTGACATCTCTTCAAAAAGAGAACGGGGCTAGAAATTTTCATTGTACGGATTTCGTTCCTTTTCCCCCTCTCGTTCTCTTTCTCTGTTTCTTTCTGTTTTTAGTTTTTTTTTTTTAATTCTGGGGAGGATTTGAGAGCTAATACGGTTTACGTACGAATTATTTTAATTGCTAATGATGATTTTATTTGATTTGGGATTTTGTCCTTTCGTTGTCATTTGTTATTCTTATTGTGGGCGGAGTTGATAGAAGAATTGACTCGGAAGTTAAAAATTCTAATTTCATTCAGAGGCAAAGTGTAAACGCATAAAAGCTAACTCAAGTTTAATAAAGGTTTAATATGAGTAACTATCGGACAATCATCAGGTTATTTGGAAGCCCCTCTAAATAATGCTAATCGCAATCTTCATCGAATAAAATTATACAAGATTATTATTTGCCAATGAAAACTGGAATTCACATTTCCAGAGAGATTTTCGAAAACATCTCAATGTCAAAAAGGGTGTTTTATAAACCCTAAATTTCAGGGGGTTTTCTTATATTTAGGCTTTAATATAGGCACAATTGGACAATGACAATGTAAATGATTTCTTGAGAATGAATTCTTTAATTTATCAAAAACATATATAAATACAATTTAACTTAGAAGCACATGCATACACTAAAGAAGAAACCTGTAAAGACCAAACAAACCAGATGTTAAAAAAATAGTCCTCAAACCTTCCAAGCTAATGATGCGGGCTCAATTCACTCTATGCGCTCTATATTACTTTTTTACATCTAAAACTCTTCCATGAAAACACGGGCAAAATAATACTTGTAGATGATAAATAAATTTCATTATATTTGATAGCAAAAACTGCAACACTGGCTAATGCTCATTGGAGTACAACATATGTCATAAGTTCCTTTCGATTATTTTGGATAAATAAATCGTTTATTTGTAAGAGAAAATTGCTTCTAGCACCCAAAATGGAGAAGTAAATTTGCCCCACCCCCAAGACTTGGTCAACAAACCAAAAAATCCCCTCAATTAACTTTGTAATGCTTCTAACCCCAAAATTTAATGTCACCTAAGTAAAACTTTTCAATTCCCCACTTTACCCCTAATTAAATCCTATGTANCCCCCCCCCCCAACTCATCATCATCATCTCATCTCCCTCATCTCTTTTCTTTTCTCCCTCCATAGTCATTACCAATCAATGAGTTCTCATCCTCTCTTTTCTTTTTTTTCTCTCGCCACTCCATAGCCTACTGCACCATCACCATCACCTTTCCCATGGCCCTAAATAAACTCAATGCCTCTCGTCCACTCTAACCCTTGTCTTCAATTGGCTAAGGTAGAGCTTGCCCCTCCATCGAACCTCACATGACCTTCTGCGTCATCACCCTCCCCTCCCCCAACGATGGCCTCCCTTTTGACTTTCAAAGTTTTGACCTCATCACAAGATCAAACCCACAGGGATACGAGCACCAATACTTATAAGTGTAGATCAACTATTTGATAAAATGGCTATGAGAAATAAAACCATTATGAATAAAACTATGAGCAAGAGCCAAGCAATTAGAGGAGAAGAATATGTGGGCTATGATTATGTGGACCTTGGAGGTGAGGTGGTGAGACTTGGATTAGGCCTAGAAAAGGAGGGGCAACAACGAGGTTGGAGTTGGAGATGGTTGTGGATTGAAGGAGGCAGAAGAAGAGCATGACAGTAGGCAGCTAGCATTGATCATGACCCCCGCCTATTTAGTTTCAGATTCAACAATTTTTTCTCCTCCTCCTTAGAGTTTGACCGTGAAGCTTGACCTTTGAGCAGTCTGTAGTGCATTCCATAGTTTTTGAGTAAAGGAATGTTAGCAGAATGTTATATAATTCATTTGATAATTTTTAAGCAAATGAATATATTTTTAGCTATTTCCTTTTCCTCCTCCTCATTCCATTACTAGCTAGTTTTTTCCAGCTCATGAGGTCTAATGTTACAATCGGCAGCTTATAAGTTCACAATTATAGAATGAGAAGATTACATGAAAGAACTAGATTTGATAGATGAAAGGGTTTATCTTACTGTAATGAATTACTCCTAAGAGACACTACAAGAAATTATGTCTTTAACGAAGGGATTTACCTTCGTTAAAGAGCTAAAAACCTTTGCTATTGTATACTAATGTCAGGAAAAAATCCCTTCGTTACCAATCGTTGAAGCCTTCTTCACTAAAGTGTCATGAAGGTTATGTACCCGTCATTATAGAATCTACAATGACGACATATTACCATCGTTCATATCTACGACGGTAATTATCACCGTCGTTATCACTAGTGATGGGGATTTTTCCTGTTGTAAATGTAAAATGATAGTTTTTCATTCCCGTTGTTGTTGTGTAATTATGGTTTTGTACGCCCATTGTTATTATGTAACAACGGGTGACAACCTCATCGTTGAAGCCTAATTAACGACGGTTGGATACCGTCGTAAAAGTCCTCATAGTGGGTAATTAGTAACTCATCAACGATGGTGCTTTTCCTTTATTGATATACAAAATATGATTTATAAAACCGTTATTTTAGACTACAAATTTCTAATATACATTAATGATAATTTTTCATTCATAAGCAACTATCATAGAAAACATTCATATTATTCTTAACATGACACTAAGATTCACAATATAAATATATTAAAAATACCCAATAATGAATAAAAGGGTAAACAAAAGCTCCATTTTATTAATAACATTAATAAATAAAATTCCACCATTCTCAAATATTCAATACTAATAACAAGAGTTAATATCCTAATTGTTCCAAAAAAATAAACTACCTAAAGAAAAATACGTGAAACTATCTAAAGTTCCTTCTCATCTTTAGAGATTGCAAGAGAACATCATGATGAATCAGTTCTTCCAATAGGAACTATGGGTTGTTCTTCTCCATCAGAAGTGCGGTGATTGCTATCAGAGTGAATAAATGAACTTGTACTATATCGGCTCGGGAGCCTCATTGGCCATTGAACAACAGATATCTTAGGCTTCTCACTAGTCTTCTTATCGGTTAAGATTGCCTTTCAAATGAGAGGCCAACCGGGTTTTGATTCTTGTAATTCGCGAATAAGTAGACAACGAATTGATTTTGATGGAGATCCATGTTTATTCACAGGGACCAAGGCTAAGGAATCATCTCTCCTAGATTTTGCACAATTTTGGTCTCTTGCTTCTTCACAATCTCTTGAATCATGGTGATCCATGCTACTAGGATAAGTCATGTGGTGCTTTGATACAACAGGCAAATAATTGAAAGTAGGCCTAGGAGAATTGAAAATATAATCATGATTGCTTCGTTTTTGACTCGGGTTTCTTGAACAATTTCTATTTTTTGAACAAAAATAATGTTTCATTTAATAGATTGTAGACAATCAGCAAAAGCTAAACATAATATATCAAACCAAACCTATGGATTCTCCCTAGAATACAATCTTTCCATTGCTCACTGCGAGATTCGAGCAATCCTTTGGTAGTTTCTTTGAACAGTACTTCGTGATCGAGGTAGATGAAGACCTATCATAAAATTCAATCTCATCACAAAATGAATAATTTATATCTCAACAAATTTGCAAAAAAAAAGCTCTTTTACTCACCTAATGCCTCAACAATTCTTTTTGATCCCTAGAATTAGATTATTAGCTTCATAACTCATCGTCTCTTAGACCAAAATCTTTCTAGTCGAAGAGCCCCGACATAATTTCAGCTTCAAAATCAATCTAAAATCAACAGAAAATCCCCAAATCATCATTAAATTGCCTCCATAAAAACATCAAGATTCAGACTTTAACATAACAAAAAAAAACCAAACCTGTTTTAGATTACAAAACCCATCATAAACAGCATGAACAGAATCAAAAACCTTAACCAGCGAAAGAAGCGAATAACACCTCCCATCAAGATCACAACCATCTGAAAACCAAAAAAAAATCAAACCCATCATCAAAATCAATTCTTTTCCCAACAGTCAAACAACGAAACAAAAATTTCCACGTGGGTTTTAATCAAATTTACTTGAAGATGAAGGAATGACATGAAGAGCAACAACGCGATCACCAGCTTTAGCAACCTTGACGAGGGCCCACGTTAACATCTCCTTGCTCTCGGCGTCCATCTTAACGTCGACCACCACTATCTTGGGCTCCTCCTCCTCTTTAGAAATCTCCATCTTTGTCTTTGATCGTTCTAAGCTCTCTCCTTTTTCTTTTATTCTCTTAATTCTGGGGGTTTTTATTGATGAAAAAGGGAGCACATGAGGAGATACCAAGCTTGAGTTTTTTCTGATTCATCCTGTTGTTCTCTTGCAATCTCTGATGAAGAGGTCTCGACGATGAAAATACCTCGACCACGAACTGAAGGTGATGATGAACTAGAGACTACAACGATGAAGAGGTGTTGACGGTAGCGAACTAGAGTCTACGAACTGGATCGGCTGACGAAGAGCTAGTGACGATGACGAGCGGGAGCTGATGACAAGCTTGAACAACGACGAGTGGGAAATAACAACTGTTGGCCTTCTTGTTTTGATGATGTTTAACAAATAATTTACTACTAATATTGTTTGTCTAGTGTTTGTTTATCTCTATTTATTGTAAACAAACAACAAGTTAGAGGATGGATGGAATTGCGCATTCACGATCATATCTAATGGAGGTTGGCAGAATTGTGGAGTGAAGCCTTGCAATTCAAGTTAAAGATTCAAGTTCAAGCTTCATCCGCGAGTGTACCAAGATAGAGCTTCATTGAAGATCACAAGCTTGGGTAATTTAGTTTAGGAGTTTATATTATGTGTGTTAAGTTCTTTAAGCTCAATATCATATACACATAAATTTTGTTGGTTTCTATGTATATATATATAGTTATATATATATGTACACATTTTGGATTTTGTTTTATCCACAAACAAAGTTTTTACTAGCATATAAATAAATATTTACATTCATACATATTTGTTTTTTACGTGGATAAATTGGTTTGGTTTAATTTCATATATATGAAACAAAATATATTCATATTCATACTCATATGTTTCATATTCTATTCTATCTGTGAAAATACTATATTCATTGTTTATAGACTTCATAACA